TAGGGGACTGAATGGTGTCTCCTCAAAATCATATGTGGTTGTTTTTTAACTGATGTATAGTCAGTTTACAATGTTGTGTCAGTTTTGGGTGCACAGCATAATGTTTCAGTCATACGTAAACATACATATATTCCTTTTCATATTCTTTTTCATTATAGATGTTGAATATAGTTGCCTATACTGTACAGAAGAAACTTGTTTTCTCCCCAGATTCACATGTTAAATTGACAGTATTTGGAGGTGGGCCTTTACGGAGGTCATTAAGATTAAATGAGGTCATAGGGAGGGGCCCTGATCCAACAGGACTGGGGTTTTTACGAGACACTGGGGTGAGTACACGAGGGAACCCCATGTGAGGACGCAGGAAGAAGGCAGCCGTCTGCAAGCTGAGCCTCAGGAGAAACCTGAGAGAGGCCTCAGGAGAAATCAGCTCTGCGGGCATCTTGATCTCGGACTTCCAGCATCCAGAACTGTGAGAAAGTAAATTCCTGTTGCTGAAGCCCCCCTGATCTGTGGCATTCTGTTATGGCTGCCCTGCAGAGCAATGGACTCATAGATTCACTTTGTCTGGCTTTTTTTCCCTTCCTTGTCTCACCATTTCACTCCACCATCAATGCTTCTGGGGATCAGAAATAAACTATGTGCGCTTGAATCTTTGTCTGGGAGTCTGTATCCAGGATAATCCATGCTCACGTTCCTGTCCACACCTCACCTAGCGGGACTGCTGGCCTTCGCGTATTAAGGCAGCCGCTGCGGGCAGGACAGATCTGACTCCGCTCATCCGTGGCAATGATCCTGAACCAGTGATGTCCTGCCTGGACTGAGGCAGAGATTAAACGCTGTTCTGCATGCCCAGAGCAGGGCCATGAACGGACCCCAGAGTGTCCCCAGCCAGGTGGTGGGGTCCAGCTGACTGTGGGGCGTTGCATCCTTCCTAGGGAAAAGGACCGGGTGAGTAGGAAGGCAGATGGCTTTTTTCAGAGATTCTGAGAGCAGATTTGGAATCAGATGGTGCTGGGTTTGAATTTCAGCTCCATCACTTTCTAGCTGGCTGACATTGGCTAAGTCACTCCTCCTCTCTGAGCCTCCCTTTCCTTATCAGATGGAGATGATATTGACACTTTCTCGGAGGGTGATAGCGGGATGGGGTGGGGCAATGTGGGTAAAGCCCTCAGAACAGTGTCAAGTATGTGGGCAAAGGGCCAAGTTCATTGCTTCCGAAGGTGATGGGGGTGGGGGTGAGTGGGCAGGGGATTTCTGTAGCTGCAGAGAATTGCTGAAAGGCGTATTCTTTTCCAGGCCACACCAAACACAGCTCTCCTCTGCTGCACAAGCGGTGTCCCCTGAATTTAGGGAGCCCCACCCTCACCCTGGTGAGGATGGCTGCTTTGATGAGTCAAAATGAAATTTCTATCTGAGGGAGGCTGGGAGCTGCTTGCTCGGAAAACAGCTGTCAGAGAGAAGCTCCCTGGAGTAGATGCACAGTCTCTGTTAATAGCTTGGCTGGAGGGCAGATGAAATCTGGTTTCTCCCGGAGCCTTTCCTTAGAAGATACGGCAGGTGTGCCCAGGCAGAGGTGGCGCTGGCGGGGTGGGGGATACTGGTGACTAGTTTAGATAACAAGGAGCAGAAGTTCACCTTGCCGCCTCTCAGAACATCCAGAGTAGGGGCAGTTGGGTGGGTGTAAAAGGAAATGAGGTGCCAAGAGGTGAAGACCCAAAAGGCTGGAAAAGAGGGACTCTGACAAATCCTGTTTACACATGGTCACAGCGATATTATCCACAATCACCAAGAAACAACCCACATGTCCATCAACAGACGGATGGACACACAGATAATATTATATACTATATGCCGGAATATGATTCAGCCATAACAAGGAAAAAAGTGCAGGTACGTGTTACAAGGTGGATAAACTCAAAACATTGTTCTGGGTGAAATCAGCCAGAATCAAAAGGGCACATTTCATGGTATTCCATTTATACAAAATAACCAGAAGAGACAAATCCATATGAGACAGAAGTGGATTCATGTTTGCCAGGAGTTGGGGGCGGGGGGGCTGTGGGAAGTAACTGCTTAATGGGCGTGGGGCATTATTTTGTGGGGATGACAATGTTTTGGAACTAGGTAGAGATGGTGTTTGCACAACACTGTGAATGTGCTAAATGCCACTGAATTGCTTGCTTTAAAGTGGCTGGTTTTATATTATGGGAAATTCACCTACAAAAATAAAAATTTATAAAGGAGGCACAGTCAGGTCAGTGGGTACTCAGTGGCACTGAGCAGGCTGATAACAGGGTTGGAATTGGAACCCTGGCCTCCTAGGTCACACAAGTTTCTCCAGGGGCTTCTCCAGGGATAGAGAGAAACAGAAGTCCTCTCTCCTGGACGTGTTACCAGTGTCAGAATCCCCCTGGAAATCTCGGGCTGTGGGGGTGGGGTGGGGTGTAGTGTCATGATCCAAAGACCACCTAGCTTGCACATCTTGAGACTAGGCAAGGTAACCACCTGGTCCAGCTTACAGGGGTGAACTCTGTTCTGAGGTGGATCTCCAGTATGATGCTACCTCCTGCCATTTCCATGGCAACCAGCACTCCATAGTAAGCAGCTCAAGTCCCTTTCCAGAAAAGCAAAAGAAAGTACATTGATGTTTCTCTTTGGGGCTCGATCTGGGGCTCTTATCTGCTTGCTGGTTCCCTGGGGCCCAGGTTAGCCCCATAATTATCACCTGGAAGATGAGGTTCTTGGTGAGTTATGGTGAGGATGACATTCACCATCTTGGGGCTGTGCTTTGGCATGTTCTGGGTCTACCTGCCAGATAAGGCAAGGGTTAGAGACAAGGAAGATGCCAGCTCTTGCTATCAGACTAAATATGGATCCTGAAGGAGGCAGCAGCAGTGCCCAGAGCATAAAGGAGATCAAGGAACCCACCGCAGGTCCCTCCCCTCCCCAGGATAATGGAGAATGTGAAGGAAGACATTCAGCAGATGGACATTGGAAAGGTAGAGGACCAACTGAATCCCCCAGTTTGAGCTGCCTGTGATAAAGAAATCAGAGAATCAGGGACAGAGGGCAGCAGGCAGGGCCACACCTTGCTGGTTTTGGTGTCTGCTGGACATGGGTTCTGCCCTCTCCGTGCGCCACTCAGTTCACGGCTCATGCTGAATCCATCTGAGTTACACACAATGTCTTCCCAGCGAGCCCGCAGCAGCTTCTGATGATCACGTCTTCTGCTCCCCTCTTGCTCCTGCCGTTCTCCTTGAAAACATATTCCTAGAACCAAAGATGCTTGGCAGTAGGATCATGGGCTCATTGCTGATCATCTTTGAGAAGCCCCGAAGAATAGGCAAAGTGCTGAAAATTTGGGAGCAGCAAATGCCTTGATTTTTTTCCAAATGGATATTGGAAATGATGGGCTGATCCTCAGGAGAATTTGGAAACAGATTATGAAACAAGGGGTTTGGGACTACTTCAAAAAGAAAGGCGTGGTTCCTAACGCATCCCCTGTGTTCATTTAGAACCTGTCATGCTGAACCCAATTTCCTCTTTTGTCTGTGGTCTAGTGACGCAAGGGAAAGTCGTAGACCTGCAAGGACCGCAGTCTGGCTGTGTTCTCTGGGCAATGCTGTGACCAGATCCCATCTTGCTTTTTCTCTAACTGTCCCACCTAAGTCTTACTTCTCTGGCAAGATGGCTAGCTCTGCTGGGGTGGAGACAGTATCTGGGACCTTCCTGGAATCTTCATGGTTCCTGACATGGCCTTGGACTATGCCCACTGGAAATGTGCTATAGGTTTGTTGAATTGGGTCTGGATTTTCTGAAGATCAAGGCAGGGGAAGGAGGGGGGGCTCCCAGCAAGAGATGAGCCATACAGAGAAGAGCTGGTAAATTCAGAACCTGAAATGGGGGTTCAGATCCCACCTGAGTCCCTTACCAGGGACCCCGGCAGCTCTTGTTGCCTCTTGGAGCCTTCATGCCCTCTTCTGAGCAGCGGAGATGATAAATAATATACACACAAGTTTGAAAATTAGAGGAGACGTCATAGTATTATAGGAATAAAAGTATGTTTTGAGCCCTTACTAAATGCCAGGCACTGTGCTAAGCACCTCTCCCCCCAGGCATTTCTACATTTCACCCATACACAACCCTATGAAGTGGATTCCACGATTATCTCTACTTTGTGAACTAGGAAACTGAGCCTTAGAAAGGGAGTGAATTTGCCTAAGGTCATCCCCTGAGGGGCATGGATAGAACTGAAATTTAAACCCAGGATAGCCTGGTTGTAAGGTCCAGTACAGTGGTTCTCAAGCGTCAGAATCCGCTGGAGGGCTTGTTAAAATACAGACCTCTGGGGCCCCGGCGCCAGGGGTTTTGATCCAGAGGCTCTGGGGAGATGCCTGGGTATCTGTATTCCTGACAAGTTCCCAATTGATGTGATGCTGCTCGTTTAGGACCTGGTCTAAAAAGAGTCCCCTAGGACCATTTTCTAACATTCCTGCTCTAGAATATAGAGGCACAAAGGAGATCAATTTAAATAAGAAAAGACCGCACCTATAGGAGTTGTTAGGCCACGTGGTGCAGTGGCAGGAACACGCCCCTAAAGTCTCAGACATGGGTTCAGATCTTGACTCCACCATAACCATGGGCTGGATTAATTGAGAGGCATACAGCCAAGCCGTGCTGGTTAAGCACCTGGTCCTCTAGGACCAGCCTCTTCACCCTCCCATTCGGGTCTAGGCTTCTGCTCCCCGGGTCCGCGGTCGCGCGCCACCCGCGTGTGCCTCTCCATCTTTGCACGCTCGGCGGTGGAGTTCAGCCCGGCAAGCGTTGCCATGGTAGCGCCGCGGGCTGGGATGCTGGAGGCAGAGCGCGCCGCTAGGCTCGCCCCTTTGTGCGGCTGGGGTAGCGATGCGCTCCCCCTACTCCCGGCCGCACCCCGCCTCCCAGGCCCCGACCTCCAGGAGGGAGTAAAGGGTAGGGCGTAGGGTTGCAGGGGAGCGGGGAGGCGGGAGGAGGGCAGAGGCGAGGACCGGGGGTGGGGCGCCTCCGCCCGCCAGCCGCTCCCGCATTAAAATTTCATGGGCGCTGCAGCAGCTACAAAGACGACGCCGGCTGCGCTCGGGGGACCAGAGGGAGGGAGGCTGCGGACGAGTGCGGGGAGGAGTTTGCGATGGGAGGCGCTTGCAGGGGCTCCCCCAGTTCTGCGCTGTGAGCCGGGGCACAAAGAGCCCTCTGCACTGGCGCCGCAAGACCGCGGACGGGAGGTAAGCCGCCGCCCCATCCTAACAGCCCTCCCTCCCCAAGCGTCCTTGTCTGCGCGCTGGGAACAGCCTAATTCCCCGAGGTTGAGGTCCCAGGGTCCTGGGCAGGGTTCAGGGCTGGCAAACGCTGCCTGAAGTGCCCCTTATTTGTTGGATGAAGAGCCTCTCCAGCCCGCAGCTGTCAAATGCTAAGACTCGGGCCTGGGTGGGGCACCGGGAAGGGGAGTTTGCATGGGGAGTCTAGGACCCATGGGGGTCTTGCAGTCATGATCTGAGAGGGAACAAAGACCCCCCCCGTACCAGACAGACAGGAGGGGCCCCCCGGACCTTTTCTGCTCACCGGAAATGGCCAAGCCTTGGAGGGACCCTCAATGGTCTCAGAACTGGAGCTGGGGGATGGGATGGTGGAGCCAGGTTCTTGAGCCCCCCTTGTTCATATCAAGCCCACCCCCCAGCGCCTGCCAATGCTACACTTTGGGAACTCAAATTCCAGATGTCCAGGGTCCCACGGGACGGAGAGGACCGGAAAACCTCTTGGTTGAGAATAGTGAGATCGGTAATGATAATAATACTACAGTAGTTGATGGAGAGCTTACACTCTGCCAGGGACATGCTTAGCCCTCTGCATGCATTATTACAACAACCCCAGGCGGTGGTAAGAACCCCATTTTAGAGATGGGGAAATTGAGCTCCAGAGAGGGTTAGGTACACACGTCCAAGGTCACACACCCAGAGATTTTGAATCCAGATATGTCCAACTCTAAAGCTCATGTTACATCCTTAAATGGGTCTGGGGAGAACCCAGGACTCACCAGCTCCCTTCCCTCCTACTCCTCTCTAATACATTCTCTAGAGAGGTTGGGAATTTGGGAGGGAGGGGGCCAGATCTCTCCTCTCTCTCAGCAGAGGATCCTCGGCTAGAGAAATTGCTTGTCGGACTGTGCAGGGGGAGACCCGGGGGCCTGGATTCCCCACCCTCATCCCAGGCTCCACACCCGTGGCTGCCCTGCGCCCAGGCTTGCTGGCGCGCACACCCTACTGCAGTGCCGCGGCGGGGAACACCGCCTCCACCTGCTGCTGCGGGAAGCCGGGAGGGAGGCGGTGGTGCGGAGACGGGTGGGGGGAGAGAGGCGAGATAACGCGCGGAGAGCGGCTTCTGTTTCTCTCGGTGCCGGCCCCAGACGGAGCGCGGCCCAGAGCCCAACGCTCATTCTGGGTACGACACTTTACCTTCCAAAGCGCAGTCCCGTTTGGGAGCGCCCGGGAGCTTCGCGACTGCCTGGGCTGGCTGGGGAGGGGAGGGATGAGTAATTCCACTTGACAGACAGGGAAACCTGAGGACAGTGGCTCTCAGACTTTCGGGGCGTGGCTTCAGATGTCCAGGCCACGTGGCCAGGGGATGAGTCAGCAGGACTGGGGTGTGGCTGGTCTTCTGGATGTTTTCTCAGACCCCCCCCCCCTCCTTCTCATCATCTGCGGATGGTCAGACCGTAGGTTGAGGGAACAGTGCCCAGACCTCTTCCCTCACCCCTAGAGGGTGTAGAACCTCTAGGTTTAGAACCATGTAGCAGTCTGGGCAAAAACATTTCCTTGGGGACCTTTTCTTTCGCCAGCGGGTAGCTTTGGGTGGCACATCCTCATCCAGCATTGAGTTTGGTCAATTTCACGTTGGAAGAATTTTAAGGGTGACATCCCTCTGCTCCCCCTTCTTTTCACCTACTTTATTACTTAATGACCCTTGCCACTGAGAAAGAATCTGAAGTCTATCCTGCAGTCCTCTGGCTGCCATTTTTGGTCCTTCTCCTCACTTCTTCAAGGAAGAGAGGGGCGAGGTCTTCGGGGTCCTCAAAAGGAACCACAACTTCCTATCACCAGCTTTAGAAGAACCACTCTTTCTGCCTGCATTCAAAATGAATTCAAAAATATGATTTTTAAAAAATACAGTACGTTTCAAATAATTGTAGAAGATTTGGAAAAGACTGAAAAAAAAGATGAAAACTCCACAGTTCTGTCATCCAAGAATAACTACTATGTTTACCATTTTCACATATTTCCCTGTAGTATATTTTCTACTCCTGAAAATACGAACTGAAATTGTGCTGTATGTATACTGCCTCAAGAAAAGTGACATTAGATGTGCTTCTCTGTGTTTCGACGTCCTTGGCAGAAATCACTGTAAGAAGGTTGGTATTTTGTGGAATAGATGGAAACGCTCTACTCAGTTCCATATTGTTGGCCTTTACATTTGTTTCCTTTTTTTTTTTACTTCTTATTATTATCTCCTTCTCGTCGACAGTACTCCTCG